GGGGGGGGGGTCATTATTGCTTCTACTTAACTGGCTATAATCTTCATATAGTTGGGAACACCTTTTACATTTTTGTTATTCCTTTTCTATTACCGAAGGTGGTTCCTACATAATCCAATAAAAATTTTATTTTTAAAGAAAAGCGATTGTATACTGATCTCTTGGTCTTTGGTTAAACAACATAGCCCCATGAACGATATATAATTTACACTCTATGCACATAATCACCAAAGTAGTAAACATAAACTAAACAAAAATCAGCAAAGTCACTACAAATGATGACGCCGTGAAGCAACGATAGTTTATGACGCCGTGAACTAACTACAACTGATGACGCCAGGGCGGTCCTAGATTTTCCGCCCCTTAATCAGGAAAACCTCAAAAAATACCAGAACACTTTAGCCATGAAGTATACAGTTTAGCGACACACCCCCCCCCACCCCTCTTTTTTTTCGCCTTACTTTTTTCCTCCCTCCTGCGTGACACAAACGTTGTTTTTGTTTTTTACGCTCACCCTAAAAATTAAGCACGTGTTCTTAAAATAGCTTATTTACATGTTTATTGATTTAAAAAGCTTCTATTGGCTGCACTGTAAAAAGATCATTGCTATAAGTAAGGGCCGTCCATAAAGTTCATCACGCTCCAGAAAAGTGGGGGGTCTACAAGAGTGTGACAGTTTAATGACACGGGGGGGGGGGGGAGGTGTAAAGGTATTGTCTGGCGTGACAAATTTTTTATATTTTTTAAATCATACATATTAGACCTGAAATTGTCAATGATTTTTGAACCTTATGTTATGATGGATGTTTTCTTGTTGAACTTTATGTTGTGATGGATGTATTCTGTTAGATGACGTCAGTTTTATAAATTCAATAGTGAAGTGTGTTTTGGATTATATTTTAATTAGTTTTTAATTTTACACAATTTTTTAGTTTGAAATTTTGACTTACTTTGGGCTTTTAATTTTTTTATTTTTGTTGTTGTGTGTGTGGGTGTGTGGTGGGGGGGGGGTTCTGAAATTTGTGACACGGGAGAGTGGGAGGGAGACAATTGCCCAAAATTAGCGTGACTTACTTTATGGACGGCCCTTACAGCAAGTACAAGTTGACTTACTTTGGGCTTTTAATTTTTTTATTTTTGTTGTTGTGTGTGTGGGTGTGTGGTGGGGGGGGGGGTTCTGAAATTTGTGACACGGGAGAGTGGGAGGAAAACAATTGCCCAAAATTAGCGTGACTTACTTTATGGACGGCCCTTACAGCAAGTACAAGATTGACCCCCCCCCCTTCCCTTTTTCCAGCAAATGCTATGGTGGGAAAGAGGCAAAAGTAACATATCTTTCTGTGCAGCGTAACCACTTTATTTGGTTGCCAAGACTGGCCGCCTGTGGTGTTAGCTGTTGACAAACATGAAATGTGTGGAATCTTTACGGGGAACAAATCACACTTACACCACATTACTGCGAATGAGTGTTTTTTGTTTTTATGAGTTTTGGACTGGTTCATCAGAGCCGCCCCCCCCCACCCCAAACCGGGCGGAGCTGCATTTGAAGCTCAAACATTTAATTTGGGTGGAGATGGGACTGATCTTTGGGTGGGGATGGGACTGATCTTTGGGTGGGGATGGGACCGATCTTTGGGTGGGGATGGGGCCGATCTTTGGGTGGGGATGGGGCCGATCTTTGGGTGGGGATGGGACTGATCTTTGGGTGGGGATGGGACTGCTCTATATATTTTTCAGCATATTTTTAATATTTAAGTTAAGAGTGTTTTTTTTTTTTAACTTTATTCAGCTTTCCCTACACTGCAGTGCGTGGCATCAAACGTTTTGCCATCCTGATTTCAACTGATGAAATCTTTTCTTTTTTAAAAAATAAATAACTCAGTAATTGCCACATGTTTGTCAATTTCCCACGTAAAAAATAGTTTAGTCATATGTTTCATTCTGTTTGACCTTTCTCTTTTGCATCTTCAATAAAGTGCAATACTCAGAATTGTATGAAATTCATGAAAATTTCACATACCTTTGATGATACAGATGATGAGGCAATGGTCAATGTTGTTTGTGATTTTAAGAACGAGAAGAAGCATGTATTCTTTATTATCACCCATGGCTTCCTTGGAACTTGGAACATCTGCTTGGTGTAACCCGGGTGTAATCTTAATTCGTCTAATCTTAATCAGCTATCATAAAAAAAAAAATTCTCTCTGTGTCCAGTAATTAGTGTCCTGTCCGTCTGTCGCAGGTTTAATTAATGGCAACCACCAGACTACCTCAAGGCGTTGTCCTGCCCGGCAATGCCCCACCCGTCATGCACGTGCCAACAAGGTCACGCGCTGCTTGCCTCCACTCCAACTGAGGATGCCGCCTCCAAAGAAACCAAAGAATGGCCCCACCACAGTCGAGCAGTTTCTGTCGAAAGAAGAGTTGCAGGTAGTCGTTGGTCTCTTTCATTTTGTTGATTTTCTTTTTTGAATTAAAAAAAAAATAAATGAAATTAAATTCGGCCACACCCTCAAGGGGGTAAAAGCGTTTATTTGGTGGCCTACCTGTGTACCCAAGTTATAGGTAACAAAAAAATTGAAACAAAGCTTACATACCAACTTACTGAACTGGTAGCCCATAGAGCTCACATAGTGCCATTTTCAGCTGTTGGATGATTTTTTAATATTTTTTTTCGGTTTCTGAGCTCATCAAAATGAAAGATTTTTTCTTCCTAAATTAGTCATGACTGTTACAGGTCCTGGGTAAAGACAAGCGGAGAAAAGAAGGCTCCTCGGCTCCAAGGGTGACCAAAGGCCAACACCGTGGCTTGAATACCTCCAAAGACGCCCACGGGGAATCCAGCGTGCACGGGGAATCCAGCGTGGATGAGGACGCCAAGCTGACCGGGGGCAAGTCCCGGGTACTCACCCCTTTAAAGTTGTTAGAAACTAAGTATGGGCATCACGGGAAGGCGAGCCCCGGGGATGCCATAGCGTTACCTGAATTTCCCAAAGACCCCCCTGGTCTCATCCATCACAGTGCTCTTGGGTCGTCTCATTCAGGTTCAGAAAGCGGCCCGCACCCCCCACTCCCCCAAGCCCCCACTTTCTCAGGATCAAGCGCCGGAAGTATTCTGGAGCGCCTTTTCACATCTCAGTCCACAGAAAGAGCAAGACAGGAGCACTTGTATAGTGATGAGCCGTCGGGGCCTCACAGTGTCAGCCGTTCTAAGGGGCAGAACCCTGGCGCTAGCTACAGGACTTCTACCTCAAATACGTTGGCTACGCTCGTGACTAAACCTGCCTGGATCAGCTCCCTGGGCGCCAAAACTCAGAACAATGTGCATTTAAATCTACAGCTTGGCAGCAACCTCGATATTCAGGATCTTCAACCGGCAGCCATCTTATCAACTGTTCAGCACACAAAGCAGCAGCAGCAGCAGCAAGATGGGCGATCTATTCTAGCATCCCTGTTCAGCGGACAGTTGAGCACCGGCTCAGTAGACTTATCCTCCCCTAACATTGAAGAGGTCTTCTTGCTCAAGTCATCTTCTCCCGGTTGTGCCAGAAGCTGTACAACTTCCTACCTCAGCAACCTCATGCGTCAGCCTCCCGGCGCGCAGACTAACGCCGCGTCGGCGCGTGTTGTCGTGACCTCAGGGGCGGACAACAGCGTGACCCGTCGCTCTGACTCGTCACCCGTCTACCTCCACCCAGCCTTTCATCTACCTCCGTCTACTACCTCAGACATCCGGAAAAAAAATAGCCCCTCGATGTGTTTATTCTCCCCTGCCGGCAACTCTAGCCCGCAAGGACTACCTCGACACAACAATGCAAAGACCTACCCTGCCAGGGCCTTACTGAAACAGTCTCTGGCACCATTCCATGGCAGCATCGCAAGCAGCAGCAGCAGCTCTAACACCCGACTCGAGGACAGCAGTCTCCTCGACCTGTCTTTGAAAAAAGGTCATGCTGAGAACTCCTTGAAGGAAGTCTCCTCGAAAAAGTCATTTATGGTGGCAGCATTGATAGATGGTCCCGACAACAAGAGGTATCTGTTTGGTGGCTCCGACGACTCCAACAGTTCCGTCAACGTGACCAGTCCAGTGCCTACCACTTCGGTGTTGAATGCCTTGTCGGAGACGAGCTCGAGGGCGAAAGCTGCGTTACTGGACGATACCTCAAAGACAGTTGGCCTTCTGAAAATAAATTTGGAATCTGGTGAATCTACCTCAAGTACCCTGGCTGTGAAAGAAGAAATTGGGTCAACTGTCGGACACCACTTTGGAGCAGATGTTGATGGGTGAGTAACCTTTTTAAAAAAAAAAATGTATCCCGAGTCATTTCAAATAGCTTTTAATAACGAAATATTTGGTGGTAAAAAGTGTAATCAATGTACATAGGTGTTGATATATATATATATTGTGATCCTATAACGATCATATCCTCTTTAGCTCTTTCTGTCCTTTGCCAGATATATCCACTTTGGTACCTTCTGTCTAATGCCAGATATAGCCAATTTGGTACCTTCTGTCCAAAGCCAGATATAGCCACTTTGGTACTTTCTATCCAGTGCCAGATATAGCTACTTTGGTACTTTCTATCCAGTGCCAGACATATCCACGTTGGTACCTCCTGTCCAATGCCAGATATAGCCACTTTGGTACCTTCTGTCCTATGCCAGATATATATCCTCTTTAGCGCCTTCTGTCCAATTCCAGATATAGCCACTTTGGTACTTTCTATCCAGTGCCAGACATATCCACTTTGGTACCTTCTGACAAATGCAAGATATATCCTCTTTAGCGTCTTCTGTCCAATTCCAGATATAGCCACTTTGGGGGACCTTCTATCCAATGCCAGATATAGCCACTTTGGTACTTTCTATCCAGTACCAGACATAGCCACTTTGGTACCTTCTGTACAATGCCAGATATATCCTTTTTAGCGTCTTCTATCCAATTCCAAATATAGCCACTTTGGTACCTTCTGTCCAATGTCAGATATATCCTCTTTAGCGTCTTCTGTCCAATGCCAGATATAACCTCTTTAGCGTCTTCTGTCCAATGCCAGATTTAACCTCTTTAGCGTCTTTTGTGTGCTGGGTGGCCGAGTGGTCTAAACTGAGCAAATCTCAAGTTGGTGGTCTGGAGTTCAATTCCAGCTAGAGCAAAAACACCACCAGCACCTCGGGTAGATGGGACTCGTTAACCTTGGACGGCAACTCATCTAAGAGAAGGAAACTCTGAAATCAAACCCGGAGATGGAGTCCCGAAAGGCGGATAACATTGATACAATGAAACATTCCGACAACTCCTGCGACGTCACTGGTGCCAAGCTTCGGCAACTCATCTAAGAGAAGGAAACTCTGAAATCAAACCCGGAGATGGAGTCCCGAAAGGCGGATAACATTGATACAATGAAACATTCCGACAACTCCTGCGACGTCACTGGTGCCAAGCTGTATCATCCAATGATGTTCCCTTGGGTTACCCAGCGGCGTGGAGAGAGGCGATTTGCTGTTGGGAACCAGCTTATAATCCTTTAAGTATAATAATCCCAGGCTATGTGGATTTCGTCCTACGAAGCCCACTCCATCATCACATTGTGACGGACGGATGCCAGCGTCTTTTGTCCAATGCCAGATATATCCTCTTTAGCGTCTTCTGTCCAATGGCAGATATACCCTCTTTAGCGGCGTCTGTCCAATGGCAGATATATTCTCTTTAGCCCCTTCTGTCCACTGCCAGATATAACTTCTTTAGCGTCTTCTGTCAACTGCCAGATATATCCACTTTGGTACCTTCTATCCAGTGCCAGATATATCCACTTTGGTAGCTTCTATCCAGTGCCAGATATAGCCACTTTGGTACCATCTGTCCTATGCCTGATATATTCTCTTTAGCGTCTTCTGTCCAATGTCAGATATATCCTCTTTAGTCCCTTCTGTCCACTGCAAGATATAGCCACTTTGGTACATTCCATCCAGTGCCAGATATAGCCTCTTTGGTACCTTCTGTCCATTGCCAGATAAAACCACTTTGGTACCTTCTGTCCTATGCCAGATATATCCACTTTAGCGCCTTCTGTCCAATGCAAGACATATCCACTTTAGCGCCTTCTGTCCAGTGCCAGATATAGCCACCTTGGTTTCCTCTGTCCAGTCCCAGACTTAACCTGTCTGGCGACCGATCTTGCCACCACCAAAGACCGGCACTTCAATAACAAAAAGCCTTTATAGTTTCATATTACACCAGTTTCAGACCAAGAGGGAAAAAAAAACACCACAGTATTCAAAATATTTAAATAACAAAATTTCATGTTCAAAACTTTTCCACCCACGTTTCAGCGTGGGTTTGTATGTTTCCAATCATTTCTGAAAAGGACCCAGGGGTCGGGATCAGTTGTACGCCCCAAAGATCCGCCATATGTTAGGCTGTTACTATGCTTGGTGTTTTGCATAGTAACAGCATTTTTTTTTAAAGCTACAGCAAAAAAACGACAAAGGATATTATGAGATTCAGTACAGCCATTATGCAGGTAATAGTGTTGTCCTTTTGTTAAACCGTTCCAGAATCCGAATTCCTCATCGTTCTTTAAAACACCATTTCAACCATCGAGATTTTTGTAATACCATTCTAGTAATACAATCATTTTTATTCCTATAAAATAACCATTTCAATCATTGAGATTTTGTTATACCGTCCTAGCAACACCGTCATTTTTTTTTATTATTTGAAATACCATTTCAATCATTTAGGCCATTTTTCTACTCGTTTGGTGACCCTAGGGTTGGAATGCCATGGGGGTATGGGGGCTTTGCAGTGTTCTTTTGCCTTTTAAATATGTTTTTATTTATTACTCTTCATCTCTTATCTCATATACATATATATATATATATATATATATATATATATATATATATATATAGAGAGAGAGAGAGAGAGAGAGAGAGAGAGAGAGAGAGAGAGAGAGAGAGAGAGAGAGAGAGAGAGAGAGATATATATATATATATATATATATATATATATATATATATATATATATATATATATAGAGAGAGAGAGAGAGAGAGAGAGATAGAGAGAGAGAGAGAGAGAGAGAGAGAGAGAGAGAGAGAGAGAGAGATTGTTTCTGGTCTTCCTTTTCAAACCCGCCCCCTACTCAACAGTAACAATAGTACCGAGTGAAAGAAAAACAACAACAAAACTTTCAAGCTGTGAGCGCAATGCGTGACGGCTGAACTCAGATAAAATGGGTGAATTTTTTGGAGGCGACTATTATATTAATCAATAACCACGGTTATGGTGTAGGACTGAATGTAGGACTGTCTGTAGACCAATTTTTTAAAGGTCGGCATTTGTTATATAGAAAATGAGAAGTTAAGTTTTTTGTGACAATCGGACCCGTTATGGGTATTTTCTCAAAATAACGGACCAGGTTAAAAAAGAAAAAAACAACAACTGCTCTCGTTTAAGCCCTGGTATATATAGACTATATATATTACTTCTGGTGTGTCCTGCTTCCATTTCGAAACCACCCTCCCCGCAACTCCACATGTTTTATATTAATAGAACTGAGTGAAAAAAAAGGATGTCGTGTGACTATTATTCGGTGTTGTTATTGTTCATGTTCCTCTGTCATACGGTGGTGAGCTTCATGGGTACCGCCTGATCTCCAGTAAGTAGTTTGCTACTTTCGTCACACTGCGACTGTTGTTTGTTTAAGACTTTGTTATTAAAATGAACGACTTTATCTTCTCTGTCGACCGGGCTTTGCACCACGTCATCTCTATTCCGGGATCCGGCAACGGCCTGTTCCTATCAGTGGGTTATTTCTGGACACAAACGGTTGACGAAGGCGATGCGCTGTCACTACGACGTAGGGCAGTAGATTTTGGCGTTGCATATTATAGAAAATGAGAAGTTAACTCTTTTTTAAAATATTTTTTAAACATTTATTGTAACAAACTGCGCTCGGTTGAGTCCTAGTTAATAATACGGTATTTCTTTTAAACTATTAATAACCCGCCCAAACAATGGCGGCGGCCATGCGTGACCTGAAGTTACTTGACAGAACACGCATTCAAGTAACACACTTTAAAGGATTCCCAATTAGTGCAGACTTCTTGGAATATTATTTTGCACGCCTATTGAACACAGCGTTACAGGCATACGTCCATACGCACCTAGAGAATTATAATGTGTGATGGTAAGCTACATCGTTAGGTTGAGCTGCCGGCCACGACTTGCATATTTCTGTTTAAACTGTGCGTATTTCTTTTTAACTGTGCACATTTAAAGGAACTCTTATCGTAAGCGCAAAACTGTTTCTTGAATAGGTTGGATATTATGCAAATGTTATGAAAACATGTCTTGAACATTGGCGGACTGAAGCCTCAATTCAGCTTTGAGCAAGAAATTATTAGAGTATTAAAAATAATTATTTTAATTTCTAGAGCATCCTTGCCCTCCCCCCCCCTCCACACACACACACCCGTTTCCTCTTCCCTCTCACTTTCTTTTCCGATGCCTCTGCTTAAAAGACCGAAGTGAGACCACAATGACTTAGAGAGTGTGTGTGTCTAGAACGTTTGATTGGTTGGCTCTCCTGCCAGGAGGGGGGCTTTATTCCTCTGCGACTGTCTCGTTGGCTGCTGGCCCTCCTCCCCGCCAGACTTGCGCTTAGCTGTCCCCGCACGACTGGGTCAGCTTGACCAGGTTATAGCGGCCCGACCTTTACCTTTGTGAAGAAATCGAGGTGGACTGATAGCAAAATGGGTCAGCTTTGTTTTTTTTATTTTTATTTCTCAATGTTTTCCTCGCCCTCTCTTACTCCTATTCGCATAACTATAATTTTGTTCTTTTCTTTCCGACTTTGTGTTTGTGCCACGCACGTACGAGCTGTGTTGTCTGGGGAGGATGACG